AGTTATTCGATTTCAAGTGTAGTTTTTCAAAAACATTTTGTCATTCTTTTAATAAACAAAGAGGGTTGCACATAGGTCTGTTGCACAGAATGAACACATGAGCTTTTGAAAAAGTAAAACTAAATGGCCAACAACAGACGAGTGACTGGTATTTTGAAAGCCCTTCGAAGTAGCACAATGACGTTATTTTTGGTAATGATCCTAAACAAATAAATATAGTTGATTCCAATAAGATAACGGCTGTCGTTGGATTGAATATTAAATGCTTAATAATCTTTCATAATTCAAGCAAGTTTATAATGCATTAGGAGCTGTTTATATCATCGTATTTTCGTGATAGGAATTCTTTGTCGGCAAACTTTTTAAGGGTATCATTCGATAACGTTGATAGTGATATATATATATCGTATGCTTATGTTGGATTTTATTACCAATCGGCTATAGGCATCTTGCGGTGGAATTGATTCTCAATTTGGCAACGGCTATTCATGATTAGCGCCCCTCTGGTGCGCCAACGACCGACTAGCCGCTCACCTGCATATGCCGTTGTTTTATTGCTTAAGAAAAATTTATTATTTAACCAAACATGGTTTTGGAGAATGCTGCACTCAGGTCCTTTTCATCAAACAGTTGAACATAACTACATGTCTGTGTTTTGTGTATAAACACTAAGAAGTTGAAGGCTTTTTCGAAGTCTTCAATTTATACTTGATATGTCAACTTTTATTGTAGCACGAAGAATTTATTCAAACTTATCGCCTAGAATTCTAGATTAGTGCATCTACGAACGTTCGAAAACGGTGTAAGTACTCAGGAATCTTGTCTCATTCTTCTCAAAATTGTGAGTAACTTATCGCATATGTAGATGACTCTGAGTTAAATTAGTCCCAAAGCTGTTGTTTTCGGGTTTCTTGAAAATTTCTCTATGTTTTCATCTAATAATTATATAATGAAGCGAAGCTTTCAATCAATCACGCAGTGTTTAAAGGGACTAGGCATGCACCAAACCCAAACTGTTTGGATTTTGTGGGTTGGGTGGAATGAGTTTGGCTATTTATTTGAAGTGTAAGACAAGACATATAAAATCTAGTTAAAACTTTAGCTACTTCGTCAAATACCTTGGCAAAGGATTGGCTATATTAATAGGTCAATGCAAATGTGCTATTAGCATAAGTTCCTTATCGCATTCAGTGTACCACAAGTCCCAGAAAACTTAGGTTTACTAGCTAATTACTTTGTAGCATGGTTGAATCTAAGATTCTTGTCACTCTCTACTAATGTTAACCAAAAAAGAACATAACATAGTTGACATCGTTTAATGTTTATAATGTGCGATCAGTAGGAGGTTATTCAAAAGCTGAAACAGATTGATTATTAGCCCCAAATGGATTCGTATCATAAATTGTTGATAGATTTTCTATTTGTGCGCTAGCCCTTGTAGAAAAATCGTCCTCTGTAACAAATAACTTTAATTGCTTTATTTTTTCAATATGAAATAAAGTATAATCACGAAAAATAAACCATATTTTATTAGTATCACTTGATCAATATGATCATTATTTTGTCTCATTGAGTGCAGTAATTGAAGAAGCTGAAAGATAGCAACAAGCCATGAGTAACAGTAATACGAGGTTGATGGTACGCTCTTCCCAAATTATTCTTGAATTTACGAGCCGAGACAATTGGCGAAAATGATTTGGAAAACCTGATACTACCAAAATCGGATCAGTCTGTTTTACAATAGCCTATTTCTTCTAACTTCAGAAGTGTTTGATAACATTCAAAAATTAATTTTTGTCTGATTCAAAAAAAATGATCTCAAACGTAGCCAAATTAATTTAGCCTAAAATTTGTTCTGTTCAGATAAAAGAAATATAAAGCGAGACTCGAAAAATGTATCTTTCGATACTGAGGAAAAGAGAGACAAACGAACAGAAGGACACATACATCTGATTTTATTTTTTATATCAAGTGATTAGTTTCCACCAGTTTTGCCGCCCATAAACCTTTAATCCAGTTTGGATCATACAAATCATCAATGAACAAATAAACTATGTCCTTTTCTGATTCATAAATGCAGTATCAATATCAACGTCATATAGGATATAGAGAGAAACTATTCGAGCTCTTAAAATCCATCATTGTATTAAAATATTTAAAATTAAACTATACAAACTAGCAAGACGATTTGTTTTTCGTTTTGGAATTTATTGGCGCACTTTGTTCAAAGATTCTGCAAATCATTTCGATGAGAATCGTATAGAAACTTTCAAAAATTGACGAATCATATTGAATCGATCAATCCAGACAGTTTCTACGAGAAGTGCTGCTCAATAATATGTGTGTTGGAATTGTTTGAAGTTTAATAATCGCTCGTGGCAAAAAAACTGACTTTTGTGTAGATTGTCTCTGTCTAGGTCGTTGTTAGTTTAAGATAATTATTAACGTAGTATCGAGTATTTACGATGTTCTTATTATATCAATCAATGAATACGTGTGTGCATGTACAGAAATATACAAACGACAAGAATCGACTACAAGAAGATAGTGACTATAGTGAGCATATGCATTTATGCAGCTATGAAAAAAACATAAAGATGGAATACATTCATCTATCATGATTTCACTTAGTAATACTGGTCATTCATATCGAACACATTCGCAATGTGATAAAATTATATGGTAAGTATACATGAAAATTGTTTGCGATTTTATAAACATTTACAAAAGCATGTAACAATGAGACCCAGTAATTCATAAATATATTTCCGATCAGTTTCAATCGGAAAGTATGACAATTATGCCACATTTACCTTATATTTGGCATTGTATGATTTTCGGTTATTATTCGACGGAATCAAAATCTAAGTGATCAAAAGTGTTCTGTAAATAATTTTATGAACTCTTCGAAGAAGAAGTACTATTTTTAAAAATAGATTCAATTGAATGCGCCTGCCTACCGATAATCAAAACGAGTATGTGAAAGCTCCGATGAACTTATTCCAATGTAGAATTGTTATCGTTCAATATAGCCGTCAATTGATTTGAATAGAATAATATTCGATAGAATTTCAAATTTTATATCGTTCTTTTGAGACTCTTGTTTTCTGAGACAATCTCTCATTCGTGAATATGTGCAGTATCCTGTACATAATTATAAATCACATTAGAAAAGTCTTTGAGTGATCAATAACATAAAAAAAACTTATTTGCTTTAGCTGTCCTTGACTGAAAAAATACGAGTTCCGAACCCTCACCACGTTGCGAAGAATAAAATATTCGATACAAATATTTCCCACTCGCACGTAAAACAATTCTCGTAGGCGTCGTGTGTGATTCATAGAAATGAAAATGTCTACTAGTGTATCGAATTCATTCTACTCGTTTCTCAATAGCTTGATAGATAAGCGATCTTTTTGAAGAATGCCATATACTATGGATATTTCTCTTTTTTTTTTAAACCTTATCACAATAGAATCGAAAAACATATTTATGATTAATAAAATCCCTTCATAGATTTCATCCTTACTAAGCAAAGAAAGATATTGTGATTGAAGTACATGGGCCGTTAAAAAAGCTATTTTTTATCATAATTTTGCAATCAAAAACGAAAAGAATACTACTCTTGCCTATAAGCACTTACAATTGAAGGATACCAGTACTCGTTTCTGTATAAATGTGATTCTTCTGAAACTGCCGCAGTCGCCCAAATCAGAGTTAAATTGAAGAAAAAAATAGCTATTAACTACATGACAAACATGAAGATGATTATCGAGATCATGTCACGATGAACTTTTAAAAGTCAATATGTAAAATTGTGCCTTCGAATAAATACAATGCACACAAGTTATTTTCAATATCTTGATATCTAATGTGAGCTTCTTACACTATTAATATCTATTGTTCATTGTCATCATCGAACATATTTGCGTCGAAATAAGCAAATAGTCTATGACCCTATATAGGACACAATATGTCATATTCTTAAAATAGAGACAAGGACGGCGATGTCTATTGAGTTATTAACACTCGGTGATTCTAGAAGAGAGTAAATATAGAACAATACGTCCGTATCGAAAACTAAAATCAATGTCTGATATTTTATTATTTCTCATAAAGTCAACCGAGATATTACTAAAATCAAGTAGCAATCTTGGTTTAATCACATACCTCGAGTTACGGCCAATGAGTAGTTTCTCTTGTTGTCAAGATTTAAAAATCATGAATGTAGACCTCTTAAGCATTCATCCTACCGACAGTTTGAACCAGTTGAGTTATGTTTTAACCAATAGTAAGTTTCCGGTGTAGGCTTCACTTATTTACAAAAGACATATTTCAATGACTAAATCATTTAAATAGAAGTTGACATGAAGAATATTTGGTGTATTTTATAAACAATAAATTTCTTGACTTCGAAAAATAATATGAAAATGTTTCTATTGTAAATATATTTATGATTCATAGACATTCATCTGATTCTACATAGTTCTCCTGTGGATAATTGTTTTTCAAACTGACGTCATATATAGAAATTATGCGGATACATAATGAAAAGTTCATTGGTAATTAATAGAAAATATTTACAATCTTTTATTCTACGAATAATGAATACATTAGTTAGCTGTCGCAAGTTTTTAGTGACCGCAATGAAATGAATTAAATAGAAAGTTATTCTAATTTGTTGTTCCAGTTCAGAACAACTACTATGTCATGTTAAAAACAAATATGTATAAAGTATTTTCATACTGTTTCTTTCCTTTTTTTTTTATTAAATACGAAAATACTTTTTCTTCAACAAGAGAAAACATTAATAATAATAATAATATTAATAATAATAATAATAATAATAAAGAGAAGAAAAAGAAAAAAAAGAAGACAAACTCTAGCACATATACAATAAATAAGAAATTTGTGTGTGTGTGTTTTTTTTAGTACTTATATACAATCAAAACAACAAAAGCAAATAAAGAATTGTACATAAAAATCTATAAATACTTGTTTTAATTTTTATACACCGTACTTATAAGATCATCCGAGCATAGATAATTCAGAATAATATCATAATCTAACTTATTGTCAATATTTGATTGCTGAAAATTTCCTCGGCCACCTAAATAGGTATCAGCTAATGTTTCAATATCGTCAAAAAGGGTCTAAATAAAAATCAAACAAGTATAGATGTCTAAATTCGAAAACAAAAAACAAATTTACCGATGTTAAATCATCTGTTAAAAATGTATTGATGGGATCTTGAAGAAATGCGGTAAGTTCATCAATATTTTGCTCATTGATTAATCTTGATGTTGTCGGTGTTAATGGTGTTTGTGGAAACGAATATTGATGTGCTGCAACACGCGGCGTACCCACACTCTAAACACACACACACAAAAATAAACGTTTCCTGAAAAACAAACCACTGCGAAAATTTTACCGGCGGTCCAGGTGTCATTTGACGATCAAGAGTATCACCACTTGGACAAAGTGCATCTGTTAGCGAATTGACTGAACTCGGTTGACTTTGATGATATGGAACGCCAAAATCTGTGGTAGTGTTTCCATTGTATTCTCCTTGATAGGGTGTACTTGGATTACTTGGTGGACTAGGAAATATTTGTGAGTGATTTGAAAATGTTTGATATTCTTGTGACATTGATGTTGATTGTGATTGTAGTTGTTGAACTGGAATATAAGAATTTGAACAATTCGATGAATAATGAGATGTTGACGATTGAAATGGTTCGTCGGGTTTTGACTTCGTTTGAATTTTCATTGTTTCGTGTTTCATAGGATTCGGATTTGGTTGATGATAACAGGCGGAGGGTTGTAATTGATAATAATTTTGATAAAACATTTGATGCTGAGATGGACAATGCATATGTGAATTACATTGACAAACTGAACCAGATGAATGACTATACATCGATTGAGATGGATACGGCATTGAACGTGCTGCTCGAGCTGACATTATTTGTTGATGACCACCGTTGTAGGTAGATATTGGACCGATAGTAGATTTCGTAGTATTCATACGTTGTTGAGAATGCATCCGCTCCATATGATTAGGTGTATAAACATTCTGAAATGTTTGCTTTGATTTATTTGAAGATTTAAATAATTTCAACTTACAGAATTCGAATCAGTTTTAACTGATATTGCCGGTGTTGGTTGATATGGATATGTTTGTTTTGTTTGATTGACTTGATATGGCGAAGGTCTTGAATGCATTGAATGATAACTATGAATTGGACCGATACCATTCATATTGATTCTTTGTTGTTGAATTCTCCAATCATCCATTGATGAGCGACTTGTTTAGTTTTTAAGAAAATAATCGACTAAATCATCTACAAGAGTAATAATCGCGTTTGTAAGCAATAGAGAGAGAGAGAGAGAAAGAGACAGCACCAAACACATCAGACGAAAGAGAGAGAGACTCGGAGAGAAAGAAAGGAGCAGAGGAAGAAAAAAAGACACACGTCAAAACGTCGTACAGCAGTAGCATAAACGAACGAACAGAAGGAAAGAAACAAGAGAAAGAGAAAGAACCGATTGCACCAGCTAAGCGCCTATGTGTGATGATGGTGCGGGTAGTGGATGTTTCCTCTTCTCTTTCTTAGATAGGTACTTTTCTTTTTTTCTTTAAGTGTCGATATGTCACTCTCACTTGGTTCTTTCTTCAGTAAGTAAAGGAAAAGAGAAAGAGGAAAAATGTAACTGATCAAAACTATCAAAAGCCTCACTTGCTTTGCGTCTGACAATATGAAAAAAAAGAACGAAGAACGAAAAGAAATGAGAAAGAAGAAAAAGAAATTCTTCATCGTTTTCTTCGAGAATATTTCACATCGAATAGTAATTGTCGACGCAGACAATCTGTACTTGCTTTCGTACGTTTGATTATTATTTAAAACTACGAGTTCAAAACAAAACAAAATAAAAAACGTACAAAATAAAATACACACAGAAGACAGAAAAATCTTAAACAAAATATTTATTTGTCTTAAATATTTATTTCATTCATGTTCTTAGTTAATAGTTTTCTCTTTATTATTTATTTAATCTACATATAAATCGGTAGAGAAAAAAAGAAGTGACTGTTTCATTAGTATTCAAGGAAGTGCGGTTGACTATTTGACGATTACGATGGTCATTGATTCAGTTTTCAGAGAAACAGAATCAAAACAAAAAATGATGATTTACTATTCTATTTATGACTGAGTTCGACTTGAAAATATTTCTCTTTCAAATAGACACATTTTCCTCCGAGATGAATGTACTTCTATATTTATATATGTATATACATTCATGATCATAAATCAACTGATCGGAGAAACGTGCCAAATGTAATGGCAGCGCATCCTGTCACATCATTTCACTTTTTTTAGTTTTCTCTTACTAATGATAAAATGATTCCCAAGAGAAAGTTGTTGAACAAAATTTGAATATCGAGCAAATTTATTGTTCGCTCATCATGGTTTTTTGCAAGGTCACATGTTTACATTGAATCAGATTCAGCTTCGTTTTTTTTTGTTATGAGTTAAGTACTCTTTAGTTATTGCAAGATTTTTATCTTATATTTATTTAACTTCTCGTTGGTAACATAAGCAAGTTTTTTCTCTTCGTTGTTGATTACTTTCATTTGCTTGACTAAAAGATTTGACGAATCAAAATCAAAGTTTCCTTTGATAAGTTAGAAAAGATAAGCCGAAGAAGAAAAAAAAGGAAAAAATCTGAGGACATGAGCAACAATGATGACGATAATAACATCATCATACGAGAAAAAAACGAGGAGTTCGTGGAAGAAAAAAAAGTGAATGCAGAAAACGGCTAGACATATAGACAAACAAAAAATAGTTATTGGAAGGTGGCAAGCAAAAAAAAAGAAAAGAAACTTCTGAATATCTGTGGATTTCTTTTCTCTTTCTCTCAAGTAGACAGAAGAAGAAGAAGAAGAAGAAAAAAAGAAAAACAAAGTGGCGATCTGCCAAACACCATGCGTCTATGTTTTGTATCTGCTATTTAGTCTTACTCGCGGGCTAAAGTCCTTGTTTTTGTTATTCCAATCATTTTTTTTTGACATGATTGAGACACAATATGGAAGAGAGAAAAAAACGAGGAAGCAGGCAGGGAAAGAAACTTGCTAAGCAATAATAATAAAAATGAAAACTGGAAGTTGCTTACTTTTATTACTACTATTTATATAGTTGCTTGTTTGCAATTTCATTGATCGAATATGACGATGTCATTTCAATTGGGAAAATGTTAAACAAATAAAAAGTTAAAGAAAAGAAAAGAGAAGGATGGCGTAATGTTGCCATAACTTGACTAATGCTTGATATAAAGGAATTTTCATTCTTTCATCATCAATCATAGCAAGCTTTTTCTCTTCTTCTGAGAGAAAAAGCCAACTAAGATTTGATAAGCAAAACGAAAACAATGCCGTTTATGAAAGAATATACATATGTATACAATTTAATAAAACATTGACAATTTGTTTTGATTTTTCTCTCTCGTTGTAAATGAATCTCTATTAGAACCCATAATTGCTGAGACTCATTCTTTTAACAGACACCCATATAAAAGCATCAATAGAGATTCGATCAATGCTAGAGAATACATATTATCATATGCTTTCGTCAACAACATAAGGAACTATAATGTTTGCCTACGTCATCATCTTTTTTTGTATTCAAGATCGATGTTCTTGTTGTTGTTATCTTCTATGGCACTCCAAGAAACGATGTATTCTCTTTTTCCTTTTTTTGCCCCTTCTCCATCGTCTACCTGCAAGACCGATAAATGTAATACGATCTACTAGCATCCCTTGATAATAATGCCGATCGCGTTAAAGATAATATTTTCATCGTTCGGCAGAGACAAAAAAAATGCCCATATATGTTTATAATAAAGTTAGTGATATGAATACAATTCAATAAAATTTCTTTATTGTTTGACAACAGAACGAGAAAATGATGTAAAACGTCGTTTTGTAAGACTTTATAAACAACAATAATAATTGTTTTATGTTTTGATTTTCTTTCTTTAATGAAGCGGAAGATTTCAATGAATGTTCATCATGGAAAAAATTACATTGAAAAATATGATCATATTCTAAATCAGAGAAAAAAACTAATCAAAGAGAAATAAAATTTAAAGAATTGAAATATTTATAAAAAACAAAAGAACAGATACGCTATCTTTTAAGTACAAATGGCTCGTATTAATTAAAAGATATTTAACACGCTAAGGCCAAATTTTCGTCGTTCTCTGATTTATACAATACGAGGCCTCGAACAGATTATATTCAGGAAGCAAATCTAAGCATGGAAAAGCATTAGTCAATTTATTTATAGATAATTTGTCGTTGCTGAAATGTTGTTCGGCCTATATTTTCGCCCTTTTCAATGTCATTTGATATCACTGCTGTCCAATATATCAATCCTATTAGTACTGAATACTTACTAGAAATTTAGTACATAATAGCTAGAGGAAAACTAACGGGTCACGATGCATTTTTTTTCGAATTTCCTGATATGCCAAGGTAAAGTTTTTTCTCTTCTTTTATAAATGCAACCCAATTAAAAAAAAACAATCGTCAAGAAAAACATAAAAAATAAAACATTTAGAAATCATATTAATTTCTTTTCTTTTCTTTTCTAGTAAATATTCAAGTGAATTATGTCTAAAAATTGTACTTATTTATTCAAATCGATTATTTTTTTGTTTATCAGAATTAATTTTTTTATTCAGTTTTATTAATTTGAAGTTGAATATGATTTGATAAATATTTCGAAGGCAATCGGCCTCGACGTCCTTTCAATTCATTTGTACGGACAACTTCTTTCATCATTCCAACGGCTAAACATTTTTGAAATCGACACCACTACATTTTAAATTAAATATAAAGAAAGATCTGTTTAACGTTTTATGGTAGTACTATATACCTGACATCGATTACGTCGACGTTTATCCACGAGACATTGTTTGTCAGACAGACAGACATATTTAGCATTCTTTTGTACTGTTCTCTAGAAAATAATGAGAAAAAAAGAATTTTTTAGTTATTGTTTCAAATCAAACATACTTTAAAAAAGCCTTTACATCCTTCGCATGTACGAACACCGTAATGATGCGATGTTGAAAAATCATTGCAAACAAGACTAAATTGTTTTTCAAATAAAATCATATAGAACATGAAAAACAAATTTGCGTTTTGAACGTTTACCATTGATATTTTGGTGAATTTACATTTGAAATAGTACGAAATCTAAATAAATCACATTAAAAAATTTCATTTAAAATTTCATTTAACTTTAAAGTTGAAGAAGAATTTTCTGGTAATTGTAGTACATCATATCTCATTGTTGGAGGAGTTGTAAGATGAAAAGTGTTTGAATCGACTTCATTCGATAATGGATAATCATAATTTATATTCGATAATTCAACAAATTGCGATTGATTTATTGCATAATCAATTTGTTGTGGAAAATGCCAATTGTCGGAATTCGTGAGATAATCATCGATATGAAGGGCATTCATCTTTCAATCGACTGTTTCTTGTTATTAATGTGTCCAAGTAGTTGCCTCTCTTTTTTATTGTTATTTGCTACGTAATGCTGGATCTTTTTTTTATCTTAATGAAAAGTGAGTAAGGATTTGATTTCACATCGACGTAAACGAGATTTCAAAAACGTATGATGCAATATGATCAGTACCATCATTGAAAAAAACTTAACACTCATCTATCGCGTATATCTATTCGAAGATTTTATCTTATTCCTTGTAGATATGATCAAATAGTAATATATATATATATACGTATGTGCATGTATATACATTTTATTTCTTTGCTTTATTATCATTATTTGTAATACTAGGCTATATGGGCTTAATCGATTTATCAGAATCGTCAAGATATCATAATGAAATCTTAGCATTGACTCTTTTCAATACTTTCATGTGACTATGCCCATGGCTCGCGTGTTTTTGTTCCATTGTCAATACAGACTCGTATAACCATAAGTAGGAGTTGATCTTTTTTTTATCAGTGCTGACGAATCGGAAAACATTCTATCGATAGTTTTTATCTGATTTGAATCACATGATTTGTCTATATACATATGACGATCGCAATAGAACAAGACTCGTGCGATCATAGATACGATTAGATAGAGATTTGAACGTGCTTGAACTCGATGACACCTCAAATGAATAGTCAATGAGATAGCAATAGACATAACGTAGATGGAACTGGCAGTCGATTTGATTTAGGCCACCAGCGAGTCACTCTGGACGTGTTGGTCCGAATAAAACTCGATGAGCTCGATCTATGTGTAGGAGCATAGTTTTCGTAGATCAAACCATGCTTTAAGAACTCAAAAAATTCTAATATTCGCATAGTAGTGTTTCATTTTTTCCGCCTCATCGTTTGATCTATGGAAAATCGGATTGCATTATTTGATATAGAGCTGGCCAAGTTGTATTTGGAATGAGAATGGGAATTCTGAAACACGGTCCAGCACGATTAATTTGAAAAAGTCAACTATTAATATAAAAATTTATTGAAGGTTTCCCTTGAATTTAAGTTCATGTAGCTTGATAAGTGTATATATATATATATTTGTTATGCTAATTCTAAATTCTCTACTATAGGCATTAATATCGATGAAAATAATTTATGTATTCATCAAACGTTAGTAAAGTCATCATTATAGTTTAATGATGAGCAATCATTATGAATATTCAATGTTGAACATGAAAAATGTCTTTTATTTGTATTCAGGTTAGAATTTTGTGTTGAGCCAAAAATTGATTTATCCTAGTTATTCGCTTGCTGTTTTTTGCAAGAAGAAAAAGAATTCACCAGACTAGAAGAGGGAAACAAGGTTTACCTAGATGGAAAAGGCGGTTACATCTTACACAGAAAAAAATCTGATGAGAATATTTGATTAGTATGTGTAACACAACCAGAAGGAAAGTATAAACTTTAGATAAAAATAATTTCTGGAAAAAAAAGCAGCATCAGACATAATTAAACATTTTCTAGACATTCATCATGATTGTTTTATTAATAAAAAGTGCATAAAAAATATTCTACAATAAACATTTCATGTCAGTATAACACGAGATCACCTGATATTTTTTCATAGAAAATAAAAAAGTGGTCGAACAGTGACGAACATCTTTTCGATGTTGCATTAAGTAAGATCCAATAAATTATCAAAATAATTAGTTGTCAATACCACAAAAAAAAACTTAGTGGTTATCCTTCACGATCAAAAATAAATTTAATTGCTGATTTTATTGAACAATGAAAAGTTAATTTTTCAAGATTTAATTGGTCGTAAAATATGATCTTTAAAAATACTTTTAGGAATTTAAAGCTACAAGAAAGATTTTCCCTATTGGAAACCAACGCATGTTCCTATGTACCGACAATGTAATGCATAATATGCCAAATCATTCAATGGCGGATGTTGACTGCTTTGATTCACATATATAGATAATTTATCCTTGAAAGAATTACTTTTGTTTATGTGATGTCATTATGATTTCCGTGGCATTTTCTGCCTTGAGCCCTTCATTGACCGAAATTCTACATTGAGTCATGAAATGCGTTTAAAGACGGAAGAGAAAATTTCAAATAAAAATCTTCTGCAAGATAATTTAATATTGATTGCAACAGCATAGAGAATTGTGATTGTCAAAGTTGGACAGCTAAGCACATGAAACGCCATGAAATTATTCCCTATAGAAGAATGCAATGCATAAAAAGATCAGCTATTGAGTAAACTATCTACGATTCTTAAAGAAAACTCTAAGCAGTTTTCTAGAACTTTGATTGAGTTTTTTTATGCAACCATTTCTCTTATCAATAAATAATCGATCCGCCAAAAGAAAAAAAGTTATTTTCGCTCAATATTTCGAGGTCATCATAAACACTTGAAGATTTTTGTTGTTGTTATTAAACTTATTATGTTAATCGTATAATCCTAACAAACATCGTTCGTTTATTGTGTACGTACGAACAAAAAGAATTCACAAGTGTTTGTTTCTATTGACACAAGCATTACATTCACATGATAGAAGAAGAACCATGACCGGTAACCCAATTTGAGGCCAAGAAAACATTTTTGTTTAATCATCTGTGCATCTTTTATATTCTCCAATGAAATTTGTTTTTAATTATTTGATAATAGATAAACGGAACACGCTACTCTCGTATATTTCATTGGCGTGAAAAAAACAACAACAAAGAGCTTCATGTTTGTTTGTTTGTATGTTGTAATTGATGTACAAGTAAAATCTAATTGCCTATACCTACTTATCGTATACATTTTACAGTTCAATATCACAAATGAGTAAAACAAGACATATTTTGAAGGTCATATTGACAAAATCGATTTAAACTGCATCGATATCAACTTTAACTTTATGTATATAAACGATGCCGATTAGACGAAGAAGAATATATTGTTGTGTGCGTGCATCTGTGAAATGTATACAAGGCTCATTCATCATTACTATCAGTGAGAGATTACGAGGGTCTCTTTCTTTTTTGAGCTGTTAATGTACAATTCAACAAATTCATTTGTCGCTTACTTTTCTATCGCAATTATTCTCATAGAAGAGTACTCTCACAAAAGAAAGAAAGGAAGAAAAGGACAAGACTCAAGCTGCTACTCTGTTTTATTTAGTATAGACAAAAGTGACTCATAATCCTATTCGTGTCGTTATTAAAGACAAATTGTGCGAGTTGAGGATCACGTCTATAATAGTGCCATGGTCACACGCACGCTTTATACTTTTAAAAAACAATTGTGCCTAATTGACAGTAGGTGGTTAGTATAGACACAACAACCTTTCGTTTTGTTTAGAGGCGTCATTCAAGATAAGTATATGTCGGTTTCTCTTGTTCTCTTTTGAAAATTCGATTGCAACAACAAAACTTAAATTGATCATTTGACTTCGTTCACACATCTTTTACTGTTCAATTTCAAAACGAATCCCGTCTCCTCGCCTATTCTTTCAATGAACATACAACGATCTTAGTTTCATTTCTTACTGTTATGGCATATCGGTGTTACTCTACTTATCCAATCACAAGTATTCTGTTTAATTATTGTCGGAATAGACATCGTGTCTCCTCCTTCTTCTCCTTTTTTTCCTTCTAATCATTAATACATAGCTATTCATTGTGTCAATCCACAGCATGAGATTAACACATAGATCAAGGTAGGATCTTTACTGATTAACATAAAACAGTTATCAGTTGTTATTATAAACCTTCAGTGAGTAAGAAGAAACAAAAGCAATCATCAAAATATTAGCGACATTTTTCTATTTCAGCATAAATGATTTTTCTACGTTTCCTATTTATAATCTATTTTACTAATGCAACATACCTTTATTTTGAACGTGAATCTTATGAAATATTCATTAGTGAATCAATACAAATCTATACGAAAATTGCTCTCATAAAGGCTATTTCGTATCCATCGTTATCCATTCAATATGAACTTCACGGTGATACAAATCAATCGTTTTATCTGAATTCACTTACAGGTGAATTAACATTATTGAATCCTGTCGATTACGAAACTATTCCAATCTATAAATTAACAGTTGAAGCGCGTTCAACTTCGGCAGTAGCACCTTGCTTTAGTGAATTAATTATTCACGTATTAAATATCAATGATAATCCGCCAGATATAAATTTAATTATTTATCCTTCTCTACTATATAAATCAAATACAATAAAATACGATTTGAATATTTCATCGACACCATTTGCAACAATAAATATTAAAGATTTTGATGAATCAACAAAGAATCTGAGTTTGTATTTAAACGATACCGAACACTTTCAAGTTCAATTAATACGACAAATTAAAAATGATGTAATTTATATTTTATCAACAAAAAATAATGCTCAATTAATTGATCAAGACGATTATTATTTACTCTTAACGGCATGCGATAATGATCAACCCTTATTGTGTACAAATCAAACATACAAATTTCACATGAAATCAAATGAATTTTTATGTAATTTATCGTTCAGCCAAAAAGTTTATATTATTGATATAAAAGAAAACACACCGGCAGAAACATTTTTAATGCATAAAATAACAAATAAATTTTGTCGAAATATAACCTATTCGATTGATGATACAAAAAACTTCTATATTGATTCATCTACAGGTGATTTGTTTACGTTAACGAAGTTCAATCGAACTGAACAAAGCATTTATTCAATTCAATTATTTGTCAATTATTATATTAAAATACAAATTATTATACGAATAGTTGATCAATATGGAAATATTCCATTTTTAACAAGTAAATATTCATTTATGAATCAACGAACATTTCTATCGGCACGTCTATTTAATTCAACATTATGTCGACCACAAGCCATTATTGAAAATTATTTTCAGCTGCTACCAAACTGTACGATTCTATCTTTAATGAAACCACCTTCGGGTCAATATTTATTCAATATTGAACTTGAACAACGCATAAATTATAAAGATACATTTTTACTTGAACTTAAAGAAGAACAAGAACACAAGTTAACATTTAGAAATTCCCAATGGATTACTATTATTATCTCGATTATCATAAGTATTTTATTGGTTATAGGGATAATCATTGTTCTTATTGTTATAATCAAACACGATCGATACAAATGCCTTCAAAAATGTCGAGTTAAACAAGTGAGAACTAAACATAAACTAGTATTTATATTTGTAACTGAGTGAAGGTCTGCAATCATTAATATAATCGAGAGCTTCAATTCAATTTGAGACAAGCGTGTTAAGCGATGTCATCGAATAGGATTAACAACAAAAGAGCATAATAATTTTCAATATATGCAACACGGAATATATAAAGTTTAAATAAGTGACAATAAACTTTTCGGCAACACTTAGGTCTTTACACGTTTGAGTAAAACCTTTTAAATGTATTTCGTCAATTAGTATGAAAACAAAAAGTATAAAGATGATTGTTGATAAGCCAATGAATTTGTTTAATAGGCTCAATTGTCGCTCTAGTAACAGATCTATCGGCGTATTAGTCGTCTTAACCTTCACAAAAATAAACACTTAGATCCTCTTTCCATTGTTCGTAAAAAACATCACATAGAATCCATGATCAATAGCTTGAATGTCAAGTATCCGCTAAATGTAAAAATCCTAAAGTGATTTTAGACAAAGAACAGTTGTGTATATCCAACTCTTCGTGTTAGGGAATTCTTCGCACGTCCAGGCCCCATTTAATCTGTAAGAAAAATTGATACGAATATCTCAAGGTTGTCTTATCATGTGTAACACTGATAATCTTTCCTTTTTCTTTTTTAGAAACCATCATCACGATCGAGCAATACTAGAAGTACAGATAATAAGAGTCATTCAAATAGTAAGTGCACTTTCTTTCAGCTACTAAAAATCGTTGACCTGAAAAATAAATTTAATTTTTATTCTTCTTTACATGCATTAAAAATTTGAATGAACTCACCGGCTTTTTTTTTGCTTATTACATAACAAAATCTTTTTTTTCTTCGATAGAAGCTGATGGACTTTCTACTGTTTCAAAATTAAAAGTATATGATGATCATGAATCGTCATTAGCACCGTCGAGTACAACACTATATTTAGTACAAAAACCATCACCACCCCTTTCATCGTTGAGTCCATTACGTGATGATGAAGGCTATTCAGGAAGTTCGAATGTATCCGAAAATCATTTACCATTGGAATCAACAGTGATTTCAGTTAATGGATTAATCGAACAGTATCATGTACACGAATTTCCTAAACGTCCATCGAAATCATCTGGATATGATACACCAAGACGTTATAGTGACCGAATAAATGGATCTCGCGTGTCACGGGATATTACACTTGTTTAAGTAATTTTAATTTTTGTTTTTCATATATTCGTATAATAAAAGATTGAATTTTATAGTTTTAAAAAATATTTCTCCTCAATTTCAGTTACAATTTAATTATGATACATAGATGATATCATTCAATTATCGCCGCAGCGAAGATTTTCGAATTTGAAAAAAAAAACTATTGATATTTAATGTATGCTGTTTTTTTCAACGAGATACAATTCTATTTCGATTGATTATGTCCGTGAAAGAAGCAATCAGAGTAGTATACAAAACAAAAAAACAGTACACACAACAATCATCGAGAAAACAAAAAAGAGAGAAGAGTTTGTTTCACACAGTTTTGTCGGTTTTTGTTGTGTTAATAACATAGAAAACGAATATACCAAGAAAAGAGAAATGAGATCAATAATAAATACTTTATGATAAAACAAAGAGTAGGAAGAGAGAGCGAGAAAATCAAAGGCAAAATAACAAACGATATATACAACAAAAGAAGTGAGAATTTTATTGGGATGCGTTTAAAAAAATTATTTTCAACTCTATCGGTTGCACAATGAAAAACACATGTTGAATATAAATATTAAAGAAGAATTTGATGGAAAAGCTTTAATTCAATTTTAAATGAAGCACAAAAAAGAAAACATTGAAGCTACAAATTTACTATGTGCCTGCATTCGTCAAGTTACAAAACACGATCAATATAATCAACTTGTTATTTATTGCATAACCATCCGAGAAAAAGAAAAGCGACGAAATTTTTACTCAAAAGTCACACACACACGCAACTGCGAAAAAGTCCAACCATATGTGCTTATTATTTAAAAAAAATAGACATTTATAAGACAGTAATCGCTTGAATGTATACAAGAAAATCAAAAGTTTAACTCTCGTGCGCACACTTTATTTTTGTTTTGAGATATTGAATGTTCTGAGAAAAAAAACATAGTTGAACACATCTGAACAAATGCATTTTTATGATTCGTCAATTTGAAGACTATTCGATGGGTCAGTTCCATTATGAGGTGGTGTATCTCCATTGATTGCTTTGAATTTTAATTTTCGTGAGAATAATGACGGGTGGCGTTTTAATTTTGCTCGATCATTCTAAATAGAATAATTCCATTGATTTATCTTATTAATTTGTATCCGATTACAATAGGCTAACGGATAAGAAATAAAAAGCATAATGAAACACAAGACAAACATATGAGTTTACCCTCTGAATTATCACTGAAAAAGTTGGTGTTTTTGACGAATGTTAGATTAGTTTATTTTCTCAAAAAAGACATTTTTCAACTTACTTCATCCATTTTTCGATCTGTACCATTGGCGATTAGAAGACGGAATTCTCGTTCGATAATCTGGCGTGTCTAAACATAGAATAGAAAATAGAAAATAAAATGTCGCGTCGTCTGAAATTGAGTTAGTTTTTCATTCCGATTATCTGTAATCAGTCCAATTTGTATGACCTTTCATAGATTCTAACAGGAAAGGAAAGATCATGTATGCTTTTTCTTTTGTTTCTCAACAAGTCGCAACGATCCATATAGACTAGACATAAGTATAATCTGACATTTTCGGCCTTGGTTTCGTATGATCGAGGCCATCTCGCTCATATCCAAGGCAGACAAAAGATGCTGTAAGTTTTGAAACTTCACAATTTCTCACCATTGTTTGTTGACTCGGTATTTGTAAAGCTAATGCTAATGCATTATGATCGAATGTTTCATCGAGCGCAATCAGTCCACCATGTACTCCGGATTCCGCTAAATTGTTTGCATATTCTTTTAATCCCTGAATAGTTGTTAACCATTGAATAACTCGATCATTTGACCATACAATAACATCACGATTTTCATTTAATGATTCTTCACGTCGTCGGTCAAGTTCTTTTTTATCATAGTTGATTCGTTTTAATGCCATAATACCATAATGAAAACTCGTTCTAAACATAAATTTGCTCTTTTTTTTAGTGAAACCAGAAAAAAGTGAACGATTTATTTTACCGGTGAAAACTATCAACCATTTTCAATTGTTTACTTAAATCCTTTTTATTTAAATGTTCAAGCATCCTGGCATCAACGAGACATTCCATAAAACATGAACGATATTGTTGTAAACCCAAACTTGGCAGCCATTCATTACCAATCCATTCATGATTCATCTCACCGAATGCTAATGACTTAAAAAAGAAATCAATTATTTTACATTTGAAGTAGTTTCCTGATTTAAAACTTACTGTAACCGATGTTCGAGGTCCTTCCGGTGATGTTAAATTCATAATTTCTTGGATAGCCAAACGTAATTTAAGTCGATGTAATGGATTGCTAATCCCAATTTGTCGTTGAATTTCTTCGTCATTTAATTCTGCCATAATCGCACCTGATTTAACATTGGCTCGGCATGCCGCTACATACCATGCTGGCATTTTAACCCATAGCTAAAATAGAATTAAAACAATAGAAAATAAATTTCGATCACTGACAAAATACAAACTTCAAGCCAAGCGACGACAGTGGCACCGTCCCAGGATGGAAATGGCCGGTTATTTTGTATCACATCTTCGAGTAATTCTTGTCTAAAAGAAATTCATTTTTTTGTTCTAAAATTAAAAATCTTGATGAGATCTACTTTTTTTTAATCCGTCGATCGAATTCAGTTTTTCCTAAACTAAATAGTCCACCAGTTGTTGACTCAGTCATTTCATTATCGGATGGCACAGATGATGCTTAAAATGCGATAAATTATTTTGTAAAATCTCTGATGTAAGACATCGATTTACCTCGAGTTATATGAGATATTGAATGAATATTTTCACGTATGGATTTATTATCCATGAAATCAGTTTTACGCGTAAATAAACGTCCAAGAGAATTTCGAATACCCCTCTTTTTATGTTGCTGCTGCTGTTGTTGTTGAGATCGATTATATATACTATTGCTATCATCACCAGATGTTGAATTTTGAGAACTTATTGGACTTGGAGAATCTTGATTAGTTAACGATGATAATGATACTGGTGGACCATTGGACGAATTTGAACTAAAAATTAAAAGAATATAGTTATATCCATAAGTTATTCTTTGATTGAAATATATCCTTACAAATGATATTTTGTGTTGTCATCGGCATGTTGTATATTTGTTTTTAATGGTGCTGTATTGATTCTATACTGATTTTGAATACTTGAAGTTGAATGATAAACATGATGAGGTGTTGCTGTACGTAGATTTGTTGCTACGCGCGCTGAAGTCATCGGTGGACTTGATTCACATTTTTCATAACGTGATATAGTACTATAATCATGATGAAATGAACGTGGCGATTGTCGATGTGTAGTTTGATCGTATTCCTAAGAAGAAAAAGAAAATATTTCGATTGATCCAACAAATAAATTTATAAGTAAAACTTACACTTCCATTCAATGGATAGATATTTGATGTTGTCATACCGACAGCAATCTGAAAAACAAACAGTAACTATTATCTATTATTAAATTTTAATCGATTTTACAGTATTATATTTGCAAGATTTTTCATTTGGCGAAAGTGAATTATAATTATTATTTGTAATTGAATGTGAATGATACCGATTCTTATTTCCATTGATTAGGGGACGATGTTGCTGAATAAGATCATTATCTTTTTCGTGTTCGTTTCCGTCATGTAAATGATAGATTGTATTTCCTACGACGCGTGATTCGAGTTCTTCAGCACGTAATTCAGCATCGACTTTTTCAGCTTGAATCATTCGAATTTCGTTATTAATAGCATCAAGTTGTTCTTGTAAAGCAAGTGCCAATGTTTGGGCATCACCATTATGAAGATTTGTTGATCCATTATTGATTGTCACCGGATGTTGATGTTGATATAAACTATCTTCATCGTCAGTTGTTAATTCAACATCAGAAGATTCGAATGCTAGACGAACATCGTTTATTACTTGAGCTTGGTCAATCGTATCCCAATCGGCTTCGAGTGTCTGTAATAAAAGGTTTAGTTTCGGTTAGGATGAGCTTTTTCTAGACATTACTTTTAAAATATGATCATTGGTAATTGATGTTGTTATATTGTTTCGTCGATTGGATGAATCTATTAAAATTGGAATAAGCTGTGGACTTGTATTCGTATGATTCGGAGAAGAATTTGAAATTGTTTCACTAAAAATAAATAATAATTTTTAACCTCACAAATCATATCAATAGAAATATTACTTTTTCTGTTGTTTTAAATTTTGTAATTCTCGTCGGGCATGGTCGAGTTCAGTTTTTAGTTTATCGATTTCTTCTAAGAATTGCGTCTGAAACAGAAAATCAAGATAAAATCATAATGATAAAATTTGATATTTACTCGTTCATTTTGTATTTCGTCTAGAAGTTTTCTTAATTTTTCATTTTCTTGGGCGAAATGATTTTTTTCTTCTAACAACTGCATGCGTTCTTTTAATTGTACTTGTAAACGTTCGTTCGATTCAGCAAGTAATTTATCAACTGTTGTCGACAAACGAGCGTTATGTTCGTCTGTTACTTTTTCGCGTTGACGAGCCTGAAAACAACAATTCAATAGATTCATTATGTGAGAAGTCTGTCATGAAATCTTCATGGTCGATTTTGGCGTATATTCGTCTATGTGAATATAGATAGAATGAGAGGATATCAGAATGAATCTACGCCAAGAGTACAAAAAAACAAAATGTCGAAGAGACAATAGCAGAGAAAAGGATTCTGTCTTTACCAGCGCCTATCCTCGAGTCAAACAGTTGCTAGTAATTTAGAAAGAATAAATTACTCGTGTTAATTCCATGTGTAAATCATCATATTCATTTTGAAGTTGATGAAATTTATCTTCACTGCTTGAATAAGCTGATAACGGTAGACCATTCTGTTTCAATGATAGATCAATTTCATTTTGATATTGAAATTTTTGTTCTAATAGATCACATTTATCTTGTAATGCTTGATATTTTTCTTCGCCCTAAATAAATAATACGAGTTAAACATGAAAATTTCCCAAAGAAAAATCTATGTTAGTACATGTTGATACTGATTTTCTTTTGTGGTTAATTCATTTTCTAATCGATTATTCAATTCATTTAAATGTGCAGTTTCTTTTTGTATAGTTAAATAACGTTTTTCTAATGTTGAGATGCGTTCTTCTTGATCTTCTTTTTGTGCTTGAGATTCTTTTAGGTCTCTTTGATATTTATTTATGTGTTCATAGGCGTGAGTTAGATCACGTTGAAACAAACATGAACGTTCTTCTAATTCTTTGTTACGATTTATTAACTCGTTGATACGTGAACGTGCCGATATTAATTCATTACATTGATGATCCATTACTTCTTGCATTTCAATTAATTTACTAGTTAAATAGTCAGGATTAATCGTACCATTTGACATACTCTATTCGAAAGAAGAATAAAAAAATCAATAGATTTTTTTAATCTTACTTTTAATTGATCAATATCAATTATTTTCGATTGTTGAGTTTCACGAACACCAGAAAGCTAAAAAAAAGTAGATCAAACAAGTTCGTACTAATGAATATGCGCGTAGGCATGTCAAATGGTACATGAGTTGGATTCAATTTTCAATGATTTGCGATTAGTTGATGATGAAATTGAGTGCGATCTAATGTCTCATGTCATTAGGAAACAATCGTTACTTTAGTAGCAAATGAAACGAATATGATATTGAATTGATAGATAATTCAGCCGTTGCTCTTTCCAAGGTTAAGATTTGATTCCGTTCGTGTACTTTAAATTGTCTGTTTTTTTTTCAGATTCAAAAAGCTCCCGGGGAGAAAAACTTATCAACGTTAGTTCAGATAAGAACGAGCCGAAGACAAACGACCATTATCCTTGAACTTGACCTTCGGCAAGGTTGATATCAGAGATATACATTAGATGTTGTATTACAACAAAATGTCTTAAATCTAATTATATTAAGAAAATCATTTTTTTGTTTTTCGATAAGCTATTCCACAATCTTACTTACGTCTACACGGTGGAACTCTAACTTTGAGGCAACACATCACAGTCTATTCTAGAATGAATAACTGTGGCAATAGTGAGAAAATCTATAACAAAACGTTTTCACAAGGGATATCATCGAAGTATCGTTTCCATTACGTAGTGGATTATACTCTTGTTAAAGTCAAACTCATTCAATAGGCAAGGCCATTCGTTCTTTGTTCATACTAGCAAAGCTGAAATTTTTATACAGCTTGGCTATTGAGAGAAAAGAAAAGGCTATGCGTAAACATGATAATCTATTCATTTGTATTATTCAGTGAAAGCAGATTAGAATATATATATATATATACAGATTGAAGTTTCACACACAGACACAGTCAGACATGTCAATGTAAGAGTTTTTTTCTTCTCCTGGCCTATAATGATATATTATCCGTTCTATCTTACAGAATAATAAATCTTATTGATTAATTACATTGCTTAATAATCGATTTATTTATATTCTTACTTCATTTTTTGTTCGTTCAAGTTCATCTTTGAGTTGAATATTTTTTTCAATTTCAAGTTTTAAGCGTTCTCGTACCTTTGAGAAAAAAATATGACGAAAATAATAAATATTTTTTCCCTTCTACTTTTTCATCTAATGCTTTATGATGTTCAAATAAAGACTTGAGTGCTTTAAGTACTTCAACTTCGGATGAAACACCTTGTGCTTGTCGGCGCATAACTGTTGTTCGTATAGAACGTTCATGGCGAGCAACAAGTTGTTCCAAATGTTCGAGCAGTAACTAAATAGTTTTGAAGAAAAACAAAAAACAATTTAAAGAAAATATTTTCAATTAATTAATTTACTCGTGTATTATTTCGTTCAGCTTTAAGTTCTGTCACTTCATCTTCTTTTTCTGTTAGTTGTTCACGTAATTGAGCTAACTCACGAACAAGTGTCACATAGTCCTAAAAAGAAAACAACGTTTTTATATTTCTATAATAAAGCTTTTTGTTTTCATCAGTTTAAAAAAAATAACTTCTAAACCTTATCAGAATATTTATGATGATATGTTGAACTAGTCCATGGTAATGGTTGCTTATATTTCGACATTGAAACTTCATTATCATAGATCGTTTGTTGATCGTAGGAATTTAATAAATTAAACGATGGCGAAAGTGTCATAGGTATTGATCCCGTAGGTTTTAATATTCTAGGCCATGAATTGCGATATTTTGGTTGAATCTGATTTGTTATATCGATATCATCAGCATCATCGGATACAATCGCACTGTCACTACTACTACTGGTGGTTGAACTTATCATAGTTATTGTATTGGCATCAGTGGATAAATCGTTATCACTTGTATCATCATCATTTTTATCAAAATTATTTGTTAAATAATGATAAAGATTCGTCGATGAACTCATTTTAATAAGATAATCAGATTGGTTCATTGACATCTACGTGAAAGTGTCTTTGTGCAGTTGACTCTTGTTCGAGCTGAATAATCGATGAGTTTGCCGTTCTTATATTGATCTTCTCTTTCTCTGTCTCTCTTCTATTTATATGTAATAGATTCCCTCTCTGCTTCTTTTCTTTTGGACTTCCTTTACTATACTTAGACGCAGAATAAATAGAAGTGAAAATTATTCTCGCAACGAATTGTTTATTGAAGTAGTTCAATCATCGTTTTCACACATTACTTGGCAGTAGCGTTGTCATCGGTAATCTCGCATTGTCATCAATACGGCCTTGTAATAAACGATCGGTTTGTTTAATGTATTTCAATGTATGCGATCTTGATAATGTTCTCCGGGAATAAGACTGAAGGTCGATATGATACCTCTAGTCAATAGATATGAATAAGCAACGTAAAGGTACTTAACGTTGTCGTCAATTGAAACTAATAAGACCACAGACAGTAGTGCATTAAAAAAAATAATAAATTGATTTGTTTGCTATTGAAACGATGTGAACTATTTTTTACTCCTCGTATACAAAAGGTATCGTATTACATTACCTATTTTGACATGCAATCACATTTTCGAACCGTACACCACACGATCTAATCGCTTATATGAGAAAACTTCCGACAAGAAAAAAAACAAATCGTTATCACTTATCATTGATTGATACATATATAAACAAGTACTAACGAATCGTATTCGAAAATAAATATATGACAAAAAAATAACCTTGTTCGAAATAGAATGATTTTTTAAATAGATATCAATGACAGTTGTTTATCTCTAATATTGATTGATGTAAACAAATGTTTTTATATCGAACGACAAAAAGGGATCAGCGTAATATGCGAATACAAACCTGTGGTGTGTTTAATGATAATTGACGAAGTAAAATATCACGTTCTTTTTCAATATCAATGAATTTTTGTTGGGAACTATTTAATGTTTCTTCTGTTTCATGTAATTTTTCTTGTAGCTATAGAAAAATAAAATTTTGTATTAGATATGCTGTTGTTTTTTTTGGTTTAATATTACTTTATCACGTTCTTCAAGCATTGATACCATTAACTGTTCAATATTAGTGTGAGCTTCTTCACCATTATCCGATCCCATATCTTCATGATTGATACTGTTACTACCACTACTATCTTCAGGTATTGGCGGCATCACATCACAAATCATATCGGCGTACATATTCGTACTAGTTCTATGAACTTACATGATCCAAATAGCAAAAAAGAAAATTGAATGATAATCGAAAGAAAATCATGACTCTAATAAACAATCTAGAAGAGGAAGAAAACCGATTAATCATCTCAAACAATAAACAAAAGGCAAATAAGTAAATATGATTATTATGAACGATTACGTGTGAAAATTTTCTTCTCTGCAGACGAATCATCTATCTTCATTCTTAACGAGAATACAATCACTCAGATATTGTGTGACAATAATGCCAAATGGATTATGAAAATATCATTAAGTCTTTTTTTTCCTATTTTCCGTCCTGTTTTTTGTGCAAAACAAAATAAATTCTCAGTGAAAGAAGAAAAACAGTGTAGAAAATAAAGGCAAGCTTTCTATTTGATCAACTCTATTCGATGGAGATCATACCAAGAGACATAAATTCCTTGGTCAATTAGCCGAAGATTATCATGATACTCCTATACTTATTCATTTGGTCAACGAGTGAAAAGAAGATCAAAAATGATAACAATAATATTTATGACTACCTATCTTCTATCATTATCCTTGATCGATTGTTCAAAGTAAACGAGACTATGAAGAGTATCTGCATTATTGCTCATAAATGCGAAACGCTTGGCTACAACCAATATATATGCGTGTATACATATCTTTGCATGCTTCGTAATGGGATAGACAATTGCGTGAAGCGTAGAAGAAAAGAATGGATCTTTATCGTTGAAAAATACAAAGAGAAAAAGCGATAAAAGTTATTACGCGCTTCGGTCAGTCATCAATAACGTTCATATATAAAAATCAAAACAAACCGATGAAAATAACAATCTCCTTTATGTTATATTCATTATTTTATGAAATATATAAAGTCCGATTTGATATTCATAAAAAAAACATTTTTACCACGATTCGATTTCGGATTATACGATGTTAAAGCTTTACCTTCATTTGATAGCATATTTTGTAAAATATTTATTTAACTTTGCCTACCGTTAATAATTTGAAGTTAAGCTTAATAAAATAACGATTTATTCGATTGAATAAATACATATTTATTTCAAAATTCAAGAGTAGTAGTCGATAGTGATTAACAGGATTAAGAGTATTGAGTTGTTAATTAATAGAATACATTTGATGTTGAAAAAAAATGACAATAATTGATTAGACAAGATAAGATTGCAGCAGATAGATGGATTGATGGATGATGACTAAACAAACAATAGGAATTAGAGATGATCCAATGAAAAGCTATTTTCATTTAGTTTCTCATATTCGTAGTTTTGTATATATTTTCTTTGAATATTATTGTTAAATCATCTGAAATTTGAACAAGAAATGGTTGAATATTAATCCTAAAACGAATTGTATTTTAACTCCATCTATCGACGGTTGTCATAAACTTACTATGAACAACAAAGAAAAGGTTGCGACTTGAACTAATTGATACGGTCGAAATATATCGACGAGAAGAGAACGACAGAAGAAATTAACAAAAGGTCGATATGATGCAAGAGTTACATGGAAATGAGTTTGATTTGCAGAGAATTAACTAATGTTTTCAGGGATTATATGATCATCAATCTTTTATACTATTGCAAGAGATTTTTTTTCTCACGGGAGCAGTCTTACAAATGTTTAGTCGCCTTTCTATAATGAGAATGAATACCTTCAAAAGAATTCATACGGTTAGCACATATTGTTGCCGAGGCGCAGAGCATTTTTACGGTATTTCTTTTCTTTTTCGAATCGAATCCATGATGTCCTTGATTAACACTGTAAGAGTTGATTTTTGTGAAACTTACAGATATTTCTTCGGAAGGATGATATCAAAAATACCGCTTAGTAGACTACCATCACGAATTCATTATGATCTACATGACATTATTCTGACCTAAAAGTGATTCATCAGTCGTGCCACTTCTCTCATGAGATTTAATAATAGATCATCATCATCATCATCATCATTTTTTCTTCGTAGGTCTATACAGATCTGTTCGATGAATTGTTGTTTAGGAAAACGAGGTACCTCCGTGTCAAAACGGAGCATTTTAAAATTCATTTTTCTTACTACAGTTATATAGAATTAAAAATTTCAAAAGAATAAATATTATTTATCATTCTCGTCAATCTGACACGATTATTTAAAATATCCATCTTTATACACAAATAATGATATGAATTCAATTTTTTTCATAGATCATTTCCAGCTTATCAGTCGAACACAATAGACTTTGAAATTCTTTTATAAAATACTGAACAACACCTTCAATTATTAAAATACGCTTTTGATGTATCGATTTGTTACAGTCTCGGCAAGATCATCATGAATCGTGTGAATTTATCGATTGGAGGGAGCATTTTTGTTTTTTTGTTTTTTTTATTAAGCAAGAAACTGTGATCGAAAGATCCTAACAGTACTAAAGTAAGCTAAATATAGAATAGAAAGTGAACAAAAGATTAATCCAAAAACAGAAAATAGAGAAACCAAAATAGAGAGATACAAAATAGAGAAGCACAGAGTAGAGAAACACAATATAGAGAAACACAAAACAGAGAAATACAGAGATAAACTTTGAAAATTGAGAAATCAAAGAAGGAAATCAATCAAGAGAAATAAAAGATTCAGGAAAGTTCTCAAGAAGATTAATTTCATCAATTTCATACATAAACACAGAAGAAAAGGGGGAATAGAAGCCATCCAGTTAGTAATTTTTTCAATTATTGACTGGTGAGGAATAAACCTTTTTGATGCTCTTAAACATTTTATTGACATCTTTTTATCTATCCATAGCTGTCTAAACATATTTAAATTAGCTTTTTCAAATAAAAGTTCCCCATCAATTGAGTTAGAAAGAGCCACAAGATATCTTAACCAATAGGAGTAGCATCTATCTTCTAAAGATTTTTCATCCAGAGCAAAAGCAAAGAAATTTTCGTTCCACTGAAGGCAACATAAAGCACGTCTAAGTGACGTGTAATAAAAATGGGATAAGTCTTGTTGTTGTTTTCTAGAAAGGAGAGGGAAAATTGGGTATATCCATGTGAATAATGGTAATACGAACGACATAAACAGTGTTTTACGAAGGAGAGTAGAAGAACAACCAAAGATTTTAAAGGATTTAATCAGAGATATTCTTTGCCTGATTTTAGTCATCATATGTTTTAAAAATTTACTCCAACCTAATTTTGATGAGATTATATAACCAAGATATTTATATTCTGAAACCCAATTAATTGATTCCTTTGTTCCATGAGAAAAATGGATATCAAAACTAGGTAAGCCAATAGCTCGTGCAGTAAACATGGCTTCAGTTTTATTTAGATTAATTGGTTGATCAGTAAGACATGAATAGTACTCGAGACAATCTAGAAAAGTTTTGATCCTTTTTTCTAAATCAAGACATTGAGACGAATATTTAATACCTAATTGACCGGCCAAAATTCCAGCTAAGTCGTCTGCAAAAAAATGAGAAATACAACCCGATAGTGAAATATTAATGTCACAATTATATGTTATGAACAGTGTTGGAGTAAGGACACTTCCTTGAGGTCCACCTTTTCCAATAGAGAACCAACGAGATTTACAACCATTAATTTCAATATAACATCGCCTATTAACCAACCAAGCTTCAATCCAATTCAGATAAGATGAGGGAATACCCAAATTACGTAATTTACCAATACAACCTAGATACCATAACTGATCAAAAGCAGCCCGAAAATCAACAAAAACAGTACAAACTGGTGCACTATTTGACATAAGACTATAAATATTTTCGAGGAAAAGAAGTAGACGTGTTTGTAATCTGAAATGCTCTCTAAAACCTGATTGACTATCAGAAAGAAGACCTCTTCTAGCTAAAAGATCACAAAATCGAGTAAGAAATAATTTCTCACCTATCTTTTGAAACGAGTCAAGTAATGAAATAGGGCGAGTTAACGATGGTGGGCAAATAGAGTCTTTTTTGGCTAATAAGATCATTCTGGTGTCTTTCCAAGCAGAAGGCAATATTGACTTTTGAAAAGAATGATTATAAAGATTTAAAAGAAGAGACCAATAATTAAGATCGAGAAAATTAAACATATGATTAGATAAGCCATGTGCATCTAAGGATTTCTTTTTCTTTTTGGATATGACCGTATTTAAAAGTTCATCAAGTGTAACTTCAGGAATACTTTCGCTAATATTATCAAAAACAGTTGGAGGAGAATCAGTGTACGGGTGAGGTCTAAAAATAGTTGATGCCTTAAAAAAGTTTTCGTAGTAATCAGCAGCTAAGTTGCACATACGATCACATTCTTTGGCAATTTGCCCAGAGGTGTCGATAAAACCATAAAGAGACGATGATGACGGTTTGAAAAAACGTTTACTTCTATACCAAAATGAGCTAGATGAAGAAGAATTACGGAGACGAATAAGATTATCCAGTTGAGTAGCATAGAAAATGTTAAGTTCATTTTTAGCAATCTTCTTTAAGAAGCATACCTCCTTTTTAAGTGTGCTGCATTTCATTCTTAATTGTCTGAATGATAACGCTCTAATGTAAGATAGAAACGATCTTATTTCAACAGGTAATGCAGAACGATATTTGTTCAAATTGAAAACAATTGGACAACGACCAGACAAAAGATATAAAAAGCGAATATAGTTATTGTATGTAATGTCAATGGAAGAGAGATTCCAATTCTCTTCCCAAAAGGAGAATGTGTATTCAGAAAAAAGTGAAAAGACTTTCCAATGTATATTTTTTCCTAGTTTATATTGTGATGAATTTAATGAAATAACAGAAAGAATTGGAAGATGATCGCTAGTTGTATTTCCATTATATACCTGTATATCTAAGTTTAAACCTTTGATAAATGCATAATCAATAACTCTATTAGAACGTAAAGAAGTATGGGAATTCGGGACAACATGAGCCAGAGACTGATCATCAGCCCAATGAAGTAGTGTATCAGCTTTTTTTCCATCGTCCATTATGTCAACATTAAAATCACCATAAATAACACATTTACTTGACACAAAAGCAGAAAGATCATCCCAAGACCAGGATTTGCTATCTGGTGCATAAACCCCGATGATTCTCAAATTATCTTCGCCTTTGATATCAACAACACAAATATTAGGAATACTACAGGAGACTGCTTATTGAAAAACTTTCCTTGATAAGTATTAGTACTCCTCCATTTCTATTTTCACCTTTTTGATAAAGAAGTCTGTAATCCTTAAATATTTTTTGATGAAACGAAATGTCAAATTCGCCGGTTTCGACTAGAATAAGAGCATCAAATTTAAACGATGAGATAAGAAGAAGAACTTCTTGCCAACGAAGATCAAGTCCACGAACATTGAATAATAAGACATGAAGAGAGGTAGAAGACATAGAAGGAAGTTCATCACTGGTAGAAGAAAATTCCTGCCAAAGAGACAGACAAGAGTGGAGATTTTGGCAACTTTCCCACTCTTCGAGAATATTGTAGAAGAGATTGACATCAAAATGAGAAAGAGAATCTTTAGCTTTACATAAATAAAAATTACGTTTAGAAAGTTTAGAAGGAGGAACAGAGGAGAAAAAAGGAATAGCATAAGGAGACAAAGACATTAGGTGTTAGAATGTTTACCCTCTTTTACTTTTTTCATTTGAATAAGGTAGCGTTCAAGTTTAACTTTCAGATCAGCGTCCAATATGTTTCCTTTCTTGTCTTGGTTTTGTGAGGGAATCAGTCCAAATAAATCCTCAAACATTGGAATAATTAGTTTCATAAATACATTGTCATGTCGTTCAATTAAAATACTATGATGCACCAATTCTTTTTTTGTAATCGGTAGAATGTTGAGATAATAAGTTCACATTTTGCTTGACCGATAAATCACTTGTGTTCTTCTCTATCATAAATTGTTCGAATTTACTATATTTTAATTCAAGATTTGTTAAATGATTATTAAGCTCTGTGATTTTTCCTAACAAATCGTCCATTTTATTTAACATATTATTGTTAATGTTTGATGGAAGATGCTGAGGCAAAGACATTCGTGGAAAATCAGAACTCAAATACTGAAAGTTTGGTTGATTTGAATTGTTCACCTTATTTAAAGAAGACGTCGATGAGTAATTATTCGATGATAAAAGTTTGCGTGTTAATTCAGATCTAAATGATTTAACCACTTGACATTTTAAAGAATTTGACTTATGATTTTGTCCGCAATGAATACATTTTTCAACATTAGAGCAGATGTGTAGCTTTAAGTCATCAACATACTCGCCGCAAGTTTTACATGTACTCTTTCTTTGGGTACACTGTTTCATGAAATGGCCTAAACCCATACATTTTGAACAAATTAAAATATTTGCTGGAGCTAAATATTCATCAATATCATAAACAATATAACCTATAGTAATCTTCTTTTTTAATAAAAGTTCTTCACGAACAGTAGCCGAAGATAGTTCAAGCTTAACTAATTTAATCTCATTGTTAAATTTATTTTTCAGTCTGATTACATTTTTCACTTGAGGATAATTTGTTTTGATTTCATTACTGAAATCCTTGAAATCAAGTCGAAGATCAACGTTTTTAATAATTAATGAGAGCTGTGGTGGAATAGAAGGAGAATACGGAAACGTATAATTCGTATTACCGAAGATATTAGGCCAATGATTCGTGTCTAATAGAAAAGAAAACGAAGAAGCATCTTTTAAGAAGAGAAGAAAATCATATTCGTTGTTGGAGCTTCTATTAGATAAACGACAGTTTAAAATGTTGATTTCCATTTGAAATTTTTTATTGCAATGAGAGGCTAAACCTTCCTTGATTTGATTCGACGTAATTCTGCCAACATTAAATCTAATAATAAATGGAGGAAATGGGAAGCGTGTCTGTGCATAACGAGTAGATTCTGTAGTGATTGAAATTTGTTGAGTATCAGATATTGGCAAGACACTTTGAACAGGTGAATTATGTAATGCTTGTTGTGTACCATTTATCATTTGACTGTCCTGAACATGTTGAGTACTTCGTACTTGATGAGTATTATCTGTTGTATGAACTAATTTATTAACCAAAGGTTCGACCATATCAATGGACGACATAGATGATATAAGAGAAGAAGTAACATTTTTTGAAGCAACATTCGATTGATGTTGAGCACGCTTTTTCTTAAAGGCAGAGGTCGTAAGTTTGCGTTTGATTTTTTTTTAATTTTTATTTTCAACTAATTGAAAATCATCAAGTAAAACATTGGTTGAAACACTATTGTTTAAAGATGCAATTGGTGAATCGATAATCATATTTGTAGAAATTGGAATCGAGCTTCCAGATTTTTCATTGGAACAATTTTTTAAAATATTATTTGAAGAAGAAGTCATTTGTAATGACTCTAGTTCAAAAATATTAATAGTTAATAATGAAAAACCAAATTCCTCTTTTCACACTCAAAGAGCGTTCCAAAGAAGAAGGAGAAAGATTTGAGGTAGAAGATACAAAAAATATGAAGAAAGAGAATATAATATAATGTAATATACGACTAATCCCTAACTTGAAAACTTGTTGAATGAGGAGGGAGCATTTTCTATTACAGCTTTCTCATTTAAAGTATTGCTACTATAATGTTTGTTCTTTCTAATAAGTTTTTTATATGATCATATAGTTGTTTTTCTTCATTGCTTTTGTTCATAAAAAACAAAATTTGTGATAAACAAGTCACGTGAAATTAAGCAATCATTTAGCTCTTTTCCTGGTTTATTTAATATCATGGAGTCGTAATAGTAATTATTGATTTGTGTTTTCTATCTTAGAAAGTCACTGTCGTTTCGATCACACCCAGTGTTCTTTTAATCTTAATGTTGCTTGAGAACTCAATGATGTTCTACATGAATGTGTGGCTTATTTAAGATTCGTATTGCATCTATGAGAAGGCTGTAGGGTGTGGATGCAAACTCAGAACATGTACACCCATGCTTACACCCTTAGCTGAATCTCTTAAGTTAGATACAAAAGTTAGCGATGACAGGAGTGATGAAAATATAGCTGAATGAATAGTTTGAATATTAATACGACATGAATAAAATATTATCGGTGATGTGAAACTAATAGGTCAATATTAAGATTTACTAAAACCTTTCATTATAAAATGTTTCTTGATGAAACCTTTGATCAAGCAAAAAAAATGCAAACACCCTTTATAAAGTACTGCTGATATACCTGATTCACTAAATTCATAAGCATTTAATCGAAGAATAACAAACTGTCATAAATTTTACATTGATCATTCTTTATCCAATTCAACTGAATAAAAAAGCACCGAAACTGAGTTCATTATAATCGAATAATAATCCTGAAAAATACTAATTGTCTCTCCTGTATCTATAGAAAATATTTTATGAGGACGTTTCGGTTCATCGTTTTCAATAGTATACTGAATGATAGTCACTATATACAGAGAAAATTAACTAGCATGACTGTTTTCAATACTCAGCTGATCCATCTCAATATACAACGACGTAGGATATCTTGGAGCTGGATTCGAGTATTTCTTGTATGGATTCACTCACAGAACGGACCAAAAGACGACAATCACACCAGCAGATAGAGCTCAATGGGTTCTATCAAATAGTGACCTCTGGATTTCATTTATAATTAAACATACCGTCCAAAATTGCAAAACAAGCCTGAACACCAGATTTTGTTTCCGTAAAACGTGTGTGGATTCACCTATGCACCGGTCCTAAGCATGAAAATGATACCAAGAGATTGAACTCGACTCGCTCTATCCAATGGACACCTTTTGAGTTCATCTTGGTGCTGGAACTTGTGGGTGTGAGTGTTGTTTTAATGAACCTCACACCCATACCCTTCTGTACAGCACAAAGAGGTTCCATGGAAAAATAAGAAACCTACGGGGTTCAGTACAATACCATTAGGGTTTCGTACCAAAGGTAATGCTTTTGTACTGAATCCCAAAGGTTTCGTTTTTTTTCCATGAAACCTCTTTGTGCTCTACAGAACCTAAAAAAGGGTTTCGTAAGAAATGGTTCTGCTGCTGGATAATATGCGGAACTCTCAAAAGGTTCTGTCGATTTTTTTATCCTTTTCTTTAGACTTTGGACACAATTGGATGCTTTTAGAAATCTTCAGAACCTTTTCGAGGGGTTCTGCAAAAGCTCCGTTGATTTTTCAGAGTAGGGTACTCTGAAAGAAAAAAAGGAGTTCTGCAGAACCATTTTATGGTTCCGTAGCTCATGCGGAACCATTTCAAGTTCTGTATGACAGTACGAAACTATCAATAGTTCTGTCCAACAGTACTGAACTTTTGAAGGTTTCGGGATTAGATTCAAAATCATAAAAAGTCCTGCGTTGAAGAATACTGAATCGAAAGGGTTCTGCACAATGACTCTTAACCTATTAAGATTCTGTGCAAAAATACTGAATCGTAAAATATTCTCTAGTCAAAAGTACGGAACCCAACAGGTTCTGTCCCGTGATGCTGAACTTTGAAGAGTTCGGCAATAGAATCCTGAACCATAACAACTTCAGTGTGCAATAATACTGAACCAGATAAAGTTCGGGGTAAAGATGCGGAACCATCAAATGTTTTCTATCCAAAAGGGGAACTCTAAAGGGTCTGTCCCATGATACTGAACCTTTAAAGGTTCTGTCTAAAAATGACCTATTCTAAAAACAAATTCTCTACCCAGAAATACTGAAGTGTAAAATATTTTATCATTCCTGCTCAATTCTTTAGGGTTTCACAGTTCAAACGTGCTGCCATAAAAAGCTTTGAGAGACAAAGTATGATGCAAGATATATTTATTATGAAGTCTTTTATCAAAATGTCGGCAGACAATATATTTTTCAAATGTAATTTAAGGTACATTCAGTAGAACTATTTTATTGCATACTTTCTTCTTTCTTTTACTTCATGATACGTTATTGGGATCTAATATTCGAGTTTTTCATAGTTCGGGAATATTTTTTGCACTTAAACCGTTGACATGAGGTGAATTTTCTTTTCTTCCCAAGTAATTTTACTTTTAGTTTTACATTTTCACCTGTTAGTCATTCTCGGGAAAAAATTGAAACAAATCGCCATAGTTTCCTCAACGTCTAGCTAATATATGCTAAATCTGGTAAATAACTATAAAGGCAAATAATGCTATCATCCATATTTAGTAATCCAACTGCTTTGAGATAAATTACGACTATCCTCACAATTCGACGACTCTAATGAAGCTCCAATAATATTTTTAAGAATGGTGTGCGTCGGCTATATATGATTTATTATCATATTATCGTTGTCTGTCGTGTTTGTTCTAAAACACTCGTTAACGTCAACAAGAGAAACCATTCAATTAAACATGTAACACTATGAAATTATTCAGCCATATCATACGCAATTGATGTGCACACATGTCGTTGAATTTCGCATCTTACAAATAAGATAGAGGATTTAATGAAATCCATATAAGGTTATTAGTATAATGATATAAATAAAACGGTCAAGATATAAAAATGCAATCGCAAAGGCATGCTGAAAATAAAAGAATTGTAATGGTGTATATATCAAGGCACGGATAACGAGGTATAGCTATAAGATGCAGTATTAAGGCTAAAGAAATAAGGACGTAGCTATAAGGTTACTCTCTAAAGGTAACTTATTTCGTTAAATTTCAAGAGAAAACGATTAAAAATAGCCATAATAATTTTTAAAGGTTGTAGCGATTGAGAACACCACAAACTTCTGGTTTCAGATGATCATTATAACTGATTTTTTCTTAAAATCACAGGATCGAACAATAAAAGACCTATAGTAATTTCTCTTTTTTTAAAACTCTTCAAATAGATTGCATCCAAACGGTAAGTTTCATTTCAGAATACAAACCTAATATCAAAATTTATTTTTTTTTCGTGTAGCTTTTTAAAATTGTATCATTGCAAGGGTAATTCACATTGAAGAATCAACAGCTAATATCAAGATTCTCTTTTTCTTTTAGATTCTTTCAATACATTTTGTCCAATCAGTAAGTTATATGCAAGAATTAGAAAATTATATTAAGTTTTTAATGTTTGTTTTAGATTCTTCAA